CTTCTCCCTGTATCTTCCAGCAGTTGTGGGGCTCCATCCCACCAGGGTGTGCCAATGAGCCCACCAAACAAATGACAAAATTTGTTACTGAAAGCTCAGCACTTGTTCTCAAAGCCACATCAGAAAAATAAGGACAAGTGGAGATTGGGCATGGTGGCTTATGCATGTAATCACAGCACTCTGGGAGGCCAAAGCAGGAGGATCCTTGGAGCTCAGGAGTTGGAGACTAGCCTGAGTAAGCACGAGACCCTGTCTCTACTAAAAACAGAAAATTTTGCTGAGTGCCTCTAATCCCTGCTACTTGGGAGGCTGAGGCAGGGAGATCACCTGAACCCCTGTAGGCTGAGGTTGCTGTGAGCTAGGCTAATGCCACGGCACTCTAGCCTGTGTAACAGAGTGAGACTCTGTCTCAAAAAAAAAAAAAAAAATGTGGTTTGAGAAGAAGGAAAAGGAGATTGTATTACTTTGCAGCAAAGGAGGAAAAATGGCAGACTATCCATCTCAAAATATCAAATTCTATTCCTTAAATTCACTAGTGAATTCTGGAGTAGGACTTTTGAAATTTGTCTGGAATTTTCTTTGTGGGATAGCTTTTATTGTCTTAGGTTATGAAGTAGATTTCCTTAGGGACTAAGTTTGACAGTTGATATCTCTGGCACTTCACTTTGACACTTTATTATTTTTATTGTGAAGGTATATCCTTTTTCAAATGGATGTTTTGCCCTGTGATTATCTTTCACATTTTTTTTTTTTAAAGAGACAGAGTCTTACTTTATTGCCCTTGGTAGAATGCTGTTACATCATAGCTCACAGCAATCTCCAACTCCTGGGCTTAGGTGATCCTCTTTCCTCAGCCTCCTGAGTAGCTGGGACTCAGGCGCCCTTTACAACGCCTGGCTACTTTTTTGTTGTCGCAGTTTGGCTGGGCCGGGTTCAAACCCGCCACCCTCAGTGTGGGGGGCTGGCGCCCTACTTACTGAGCCACAGGTACTGCTCTTCTTCTACTTTTTTTTTTGAGGTAAGGGTTTCATTTTACTGCCCTCAGTAGAATGGTGTGATGTCATAGCTCACGGCAACCTCAACCTCTTGGGCTCAAGTGATTCTCTTGCCTCAATTTCCGAAGCAGCTGGAACTATAGGCGCCCACTACAACACCCAGCTATTTTTAGAAACAGGGTCTTGCTGTGGCTCAGGCTGGTCTCAAACTCCTGAGTTCAAGCACTCTATCAGCTTTGGCTTCCCAGAGTGCTAGGATTACAGATGTGAGCCATCATGCCCGGCTTAATCATACTACTACTTTTCTGAGGTATAATAAACTAAATTCTTGATTTGAAATTGGGCATTTCGTATTTAATCAGATAATATTTTCCAACCATGATTGACTGCAGGTAATTGAAATTGTGGCAAGTAAGACCACAGATGAGGTGGGACTGGTGTACTAAGTGTCCAAAGCCATGCTTATTCATTTACATGTTGTCTACCAATGGCAGAATTGAATAGTATAATATATGAAAAAATTGGGGAAATAAACAATTCCTATGTTTTAAATTGTACACTGTTCTGAGTAGTGTGATTAAAAGCTTACTCCTTCCTGCTCCATCTATACTAGGGTGTGAATCATCCTTTTATCCATTGTACCATACTGTATACACTACCCATCAGTCACTTACTCTTCTTGCTTATCAGATTGCAGTGCTTGTATTCAGGTAATACTTGCTTTACTTAATAATGGCCCCAAAGCACAAGAATAGTGATGCTGATAGTTGTCCTATTTTATTATCATTGTTGTTAAATCTCTTAACTGTATCTAATTTATAAATTAAGCTTTATCATAGGTACCACATACATATGTATAGGAGAAAACACAGTATATATAGCAGGGGTCCTCAAACTTTTTAAACAGGGGGCCAGTTCACTGTCCCTCAGACTGTTGGAGGGCCGGACTGCGGGCCCCAGGCAGAGTGGGCTGCTAAGCAAGACAGGCAGCGGTGGCAAAAACTCCCGGCGGGCCAGATAAAATGTCCTGAGCGGGCTGCATGTGGTCTGCAGGCCGTAGTTTGAGGACACCTGATATATAGGGTTCCATAGTATGTATTTTCAGTCATCTGTTAGGGTCTTGGAGCATATCCCTGTGCATAAGTAGGAATTACTATTCATTTACTATAAAATATTATTGTTCTTTTGTCCCCCCATCATTAAAAAATATAAAAACTATCCTGGCCATAGTATGCCTATGACTATAATTTGTTAGCCCCATGCTTAGATCCTTGATTGTACACTTCAGTTTTTTACTAATGTATTTAAAGGTATGAATTTCTTCATACTGTTTTCCTTGTATCCCACACACTTTGATTTGTTATACTTTTTATAGCCTTGTTTTCTTTGTGATTATTCTCTGACCCATGGATTATTTAGAAATGTGTTACTTAATTCCCAGACACTTGGGCGTTTCTTAGATACATTGTAGTTGTTGATTTTTAACTTAATATTATAGCAAGACCTAGTCTCTACAAAAAATTATAAAAAACTATCTGAGCATTGTGGTGCATGTCTATAGACCCAGCGAGTTTGAGCTTTCAGTGCACTTTGATGGAGCCACTGAATTCTAGCCAGGTGAAAGTAGACCCTATCTTTTAAAAATAAAATAAAAAAGTTAGCTGGGCATGGTGGTACGCACCTATAGTTCCAACTACTTGGGAGGCTGAGGTGAGAAGATTGTTTGAGCTCAGGAGTTGGAGGCTGCAGTGATCTATGTTCGCACCACTGCGCTCCAGCCTGGGTAACAGAGAAAGATCCTATCTCTTAAAAAAAAAAGAAGAAAGAAAACCTTTAGTTCTGCTGCTTAGGCAAAAGTCCTTTCACTTTTGTTGTTTTTCTAAATTAAAAGTGATAACTTGGTTGGGCATGGTGGCTCACACTTATAATCCTAGCACTCTGGGAGTCCGAGGCAGGTGGTTTGCCTGAGCTCAGGAGTTCGAGACCAGCCTGAGCAAGAGCAAGACTATCTCTAAAAATAGCCAGGCATTGTGGCAGGGACTTGTAGTCCCAGCTACTTGGTAGGCTGACGCAAGAGAGTCACTTGAGCTCAAGAGTTTGAGGTTACTATGAGCTATGATGCTACTGCACTCTTCCAAGGGTGACAAAACTCTGTCTCAAAGGCGCCAGCCACACACACCTGAGCTGGCGGTTTTGAATCCAGCCCGGGCCGCCAAACAACAATGATGGCTGCAACCAAAAATAGCCGGGTGTTGTGGTGGGTGCCTGTAGTCCCAGCTACTTGGGAGGCTGAGGCAAGAGAATTGCTTGAGCCCAGGAGTTGAAGGTTGCTGTTTGCTGTGATGCCATGGCACTCTACCCAGGGCAACAGCTTGAGGCTCTGTCTCCAAAAAAAAAAGCAAAACTGCAAAAAAAGCAGTTAGTAGTTTCTTGCTTTCTTTTTTTTTTTTTTTTTTTTAAACAAGAGAAAGGGCTTTATTTACCAGCTGGGAGCTTATGGCATAGAAGAATTCCAAATGGCTGAGCTCTCCACCTGGCTTGGTCTTTCCCTTTTTATTGACAGTCAGAAAGTTCCACCCTGCAGGTACCCTTCGCATTGGTCAGTTTGAATCAAACGGGAGTATTATACTAGTTTCTGTGGGATAAAAGCATTGATTCCAAAAAAAGACAGATGAGCATGTCAAATATATGCATAAATTATATATTGTAGGCTCAGCACCTGTGGCTCAAATGGCTCAGGCGCCAGCCACATACACCTAAGGTGGTGGGTTCGAATCCAGCCTGGGCCGCCAAACAACGATAGCTGCAACCAAAAAATAGCCAGGAGTGGCTCGGCGCCTATAGCTCAACCGGCTAAGGCGCCAGCCACGTACACCTAAGGTGGCGGGTTTGAAT